ATTAGCCCTTTAGTTACAGACAAGTAGGGTATTTAATATAATCCATTTCATCCATTCTTAAACATACATTATGCAAGAGTTAAATCTGCCTATTACTGGTCAAATTATTAATCATTAATTAACTTACCAAGACCGTAATCAACTCTCGATGCCATCGGGTGGCTCCGATATTATTAGATTTAAATACGTTTTGCAGTTGATGATTTAAAGTAAAACTGGATAACCAAGACTTTATTTATTATCGTAACAACGGTAACAATGACAATCGAGGCTACACTGTATTGTATTCAACATATTCATTTTTCATTATATATTTTTTTAACTATTATAGCGAGAACTGTCAGCTGTTTATCTAATCTTACATAATGCCCCTTTAAGAAAACACAATCAAATATCACCGGTAGAAAATCTCTCAACATGTGTTCAATCGTATATAAATAGGCCCATCAAAAGATTTTAGCGTTGGTCATATGTGTCGTCTGGCTTATATATCGTCTGCAGAGGATGCCGAAAGCTGACTAATTTTTGTTTCATCATATATTTGTAAATATTGAACTGTTCTCAAATTGATATTCCTTTTCGAAATTCAACTATCAAAATATTGCAGTTTGAAAGGGATTAAATAGTCTCAATACGTTAATGGCAAAGCTTTTTTCATATTTAGAAAATTAATATGTTGAAACTTTTAAACATTAACTAAAAGATTATTGAGAACAATATTTATATCACTCTTATCATAGCACACTGTATGATGCGCGTGCCCGTCTGCACAAACCGGGTTGGTACAGTAAAATAAGACGTTAAACTGCCATTTCATTCATTCATTCACCTTAGATAGCATACTTTTCAAATCTTGCCGTTTTCTTTAAAAACTACCTTTAAAGAAACAACTTTTCTTATATATAAGAAAAAAAATTATAAAACGATCTAACTCTCAGTTAAACATATAAGTAAAATTCAATTATTAGAGAAAAAACACTAAAAATTAAATTTTTGGCTAGTACTTTCATCGTTATCAAACGAATCGTCAAGCTATTTTAATGCGTTACTATGCTGTTACAACAACGTTACGTCATAACAGAGGAAAGTGACATATGTAAAATATAAAAACTAAACCGAAATAACATTAATTAAATATCAAACATAATTAAAATAATCACCCCTTAGCATTCAAAATTGGGTTATATTTAGCGATAAAGTTGCTTTCTTTGTTTCTTAAGAGATCAGTATCACTAATATTGGCCATGTACAAAGGAAAAAATCTTGAATTGAACTTTACCACAAATATCCATATGTTCGCTTACCGGCAAGAATCTATTTCTTGCGAGTTATTAGAACAATGTTGGTTAATTCGCAAATTCAAATTATCAGTAGTTTTTCCAATGTACTTGCTATTACAACCATTACGTATTAATAAGTAAATTACATATTTCGATTTGTAATTCATATTTTGTTTTGCATAGAATTTAACATCTTTAATAATTTGGACAAATGTTCCTTCTAATTGGAACATGTCATACATCGTAGTTTCCCACACTTGGATAAACGGGGTACCGAAATATCGGAATCAAATTTTGATGATGTTAATATTCTTCTAAGATATTGAGGTTGTTTTAGACTATTTACAATTTTTGAATTATTTAGGATGTATTTTAATTTACGACTACTGTTCTTTAAAATATCCAACCGCCCCTTTGCAATGGAGAACCCTCTTTCTTGAGAAGAATTAAATGTTGTCACAAGTGTTATATGATTAGTTAGTGTTATTTTGGGTTTTCTGAGATCACCAATGTTAAATTTAGATGCGTTTTCTTAACCAAATTTATCAAGTTTAAAAGATAATGTTGTTTTATAAGGAATCCCCTTAGCTCTTTTAGACGTTTTGATTTATCTTCTTCCGAAGATACTATTGTACATATCCGTCTTGTAAGATTATAAGGAATATTACTTTTGGTATGCGCTGGCACCCGATTAGATTTTATTACATACTTCGAGAAGGTATTTGTTGAGTAATAAAACCTTCTAGTAGTTTATCACCACTGGAAGCAACAAATTCCAGAACAAGCCAGAACTCATACCAAAATGGCCGCTTTATACAAATGAGTACTAACCCGAACCCTAACCCTAACCCTTTTAAGAGAAGTAAAAGCTAAATTAGACCCAAGTTCAATCTTTTAAAAAGGGTTAGGGTTCGGGTTAGTTATCCCCAAAATTCTCATTTATATAAAGCGTCCATTTTGGACTCCGGAAGCACCCGAACCTTGATAAACTACTAGAAGGGTTTATTTGTACCGTGCGGTAAGGTTTTATTACTCAACAAATACCTTCTCGAAGAATGTAATAAAATTTAATCGGGTGGCGCTGGATGTGTCCGTTATTTCTCCGGTGGATAAAAGCCTTACTGACACATCTAGAAAGTTGAGACTGGTTGTGCCTTTTTCGATCGTGAAATTTAAACTTTTGTTAATCGAATTAAGCAGGGAATGGAGTTGAATAAGGAGTTCTGGATTATTTGGTAATATTATTAAACCATCATCCAGAAATCTCCTCCATGCTACTTCAATGAATAATTGTGTTTCACGACCAAAAAACTGCCCAATTTCAGAATACCACAATTCTTCCAAATAACCAAGAGTAAGCGTTGCATATGCTCATAGCCACCCCTTTAATTTGATCATAAAATTGCCCAGCAAAATAAAAAAAAAATTATTTGACAGAACAATTTTAAGTGCTTCTACCACAAATTACTTTTGAAATCCAACTTATCTGTCCAGTAATCTACAACCTTTAATCCAAGATCTTGTTCGATGTTACTGTATAAATTTTCAACATCTAAACTGACTAAAATGCTGTTAGCGTCTACAGATTCTGGTAGTTTGCACAAAAAGTCTATGTCATCTCGTAAAAAGCGTTTCACGTATGTACAAAAAGGTTTTAGGATAAAATCTACAAAGTTGCTCAATCTTTGTATACTACCATTAGGCTCCCCTACTACGGGTCTAAACTTTAAATCAACTTTAAACTTGTACAGGCTCAATATCTATCTATCTATCTATATATATATTTGTGACTGTCGTTTGTCTGTCTGTCTGTCTGTCTGTTCGAAGTTGGCGGCTACACTAGGTCTGCCCCGAGTCTGAAATTTGGGGTATAGGGGTAGCTCGGACCGGGGAGTAACATAGGCCAGGTGGCGTTAGTCTACCACTTCCGGTTTCGGAGTTATGACCCCCGAGCGAAGCCGGGTATCCTGCTAGTAATAAATAGAATAACCAGTTAGAAATTAGAAATGACCTTCTACATAGGCCAGGTGGCGTTAGTCTACTACTTCCGGTTTCGGAGTTATGACCCCCGAGCGAAGTCTGTTCGGGGTTGGCGGCTACATCTGCCCCGAGTATGAAATTTGGGGTATAGGGGTAGCTCGGACCGGGGAATAACATAGGCCAGGTGGCGTTAGTCTACCACTTCCGGTTTCGGAGTTATGACCCCCGAGCGAAGCCGGGTATCCTGCTAGTTAGTAATAATGATCTCTTGAAAACAAAAGAAAGCAACTTTATCGCTAAATATAACCCAGTTTTGAATGCTAAGAGGTGATTATTTTAATTATGTTTGATGTTTAATTAATGTTATTTCGTTTTAGTTTTTATATTTTTAACATGTCATTTTCCTCTGTTATGACGTAAAGTTATTGTAACAGCATAGTAACGCATTAAAATAGCCTGACGATTCGTTTGATAACGATGAAAGTACTAGGCAAAAATTTAATTTTTAGTGTTTTTTTTCTCTAATAATTGAATTTTACTTAATATATATAACCTATAATGATTTATTGCTATGACTCTTCCACGTATGTCGCTTTACAATAATTTCTGTTCACAATGATTTATTTTAGCTTAAATACAAATATGGCTTTTTCTGAAACGAAATGCGTTTATATATGTTTTACAGTGTGTCTCGAATGTGCTTATTTTTTTTTCTAAAAATGAATAGTAATAGTAAATTAATAATTCATATTTCCCTTTTCTGTAAAGAATCGCAAAATTGTCAATATTTGGTCTCATAATACATGTTTTCCTGTTATACTTTTGAAAACAAAATTGTTTTTATTGAATACCCATTGGGTGTGTTTGGTTTTTTAAATTCATTTTGTTTATTGCTACATGTACTTTATTATCTAGTTTTATATAATAAACTTCTCTTTTGAAAAGGTTTTTGCTTTTTCTGAAACGAAATGCGTTTATATATGTTTTACAGTGTGTCTCGAATGTGCTTATTTTTTTTCTAAAAATGAATATTAATAGTAAATTAATAATTCATATTTCCCTTTTCTGTAAAAAATCGCAAAATTGTCAACATTTGGTCTCATAATACATGTTTTCCTGTTATACTTCTTATTTGAAAATGCTGTTGCTTTGTACCTGTACCTTTATTAACAGTAATTCTGTTGAATGGTAATTGGACCCATTCATAGCTTGAAAGAAAACAGTAATATGCGTTCAAATGAGTATTGAGTCAAGGAGTCTTATAATGTGACTGGAATTGATTTCAAACTCTTTAAATATTCATTGTCGTCGGAAAGATAAATGAATTGATATGCGGTTTAACGTCCTACTGTGCACCGAACACGGGCATACACCATGTAATGTGCTATAAGGGACAAATTGCCCGGACGTTGGCGCTATGGCTACACCTAAAACAAATTCCTTTTGTCTAGGGATCTTTTACAGGCATGTCAGTGTGTACTATTTTCATACCATCTCAATGATAACGTTTTCCCTTATAAGGATCTACGTCCTGCAGCGCAGGCAAGGCGGAAGCACGTCGAAAATCCAGACGAACTTTCTCGGTCAACACCGGGATCGCACACGGGAGTTCCAGCTTAGCGAGCCAATACTCACCGATTCACCGCGGCCCCCTATTGTCGCCAGTGACGCCCACAAATAAAACTGGAAGTCGACAGCTAGAGATACACAAAAATAAAGAAATGTAAAGAATAAATGTACCTTCGTGGTGTTCCTCTACGATGTCTACCGGTATGACAGGGGATAATTGGGTATCCGAATCCTCTGAATTAGGTACCGTGTCTTTAGAAACAATTTGATCTGTTAACTGATGGTGTTGATGGAACTGTATCATGAAAACTCCAACCTAAAATAATAAGTAAAACCATACCAGTTACTACATACTTTGATTTGTTTCGACTTAAATCCATCATTCTAAATTATATAAAGACAGGTTGGCAGCGATTTAACCAGGTGTTGAATTTGGCTTTACAAATCACCAGTTTAGTCAATACAGTTGAAACACTGAATATATGACATTTAATATTGCATGGCTCCGATTATTTGAAATCAGATTTATTTCATTGGAAAACAAACTAGAAACAACTTGAAAATCAGCTTCTACTCACGTAGTTCAAATATTCCAGTTATATAGATACAATACAAAGGAAATAATAGATCAACTGGAAAAAGCATGTTTTATCAACTCTGAAATTTGATTGTAACACTGCAAATATCAATATATTGACTACCACACCGCAATTACAATAAATATACTTCCAATTGCTTTATTTGTGTTGCTAACTGTTAAAGGGACGTTAATAGAACATTGCCGCCTGCTATTTTTGCATGCTAAGGTTGAAAAATATTTCTGGCATAATCGCGACCTTATTTCAATACATCGTATAGACAAAACTTAAATTTGACTAGTAAGTAAATATACTTTGATTATCTTTTGTTTAGGAATGGGATTTAATATCTCGTCGACACACTACTTTGGTCATTTTGAGACTAACTCTCAGCGAATTTCTTTTGTATGGTAACGTGCAAGAACCTGAAAAATACCGTTTCGTGATGACCCCTTTGTCAGCTTCCAAGCTACTCTTTTACAGATTTAGGAATCTATGGGGTTGGGTGTAACCGGCACGGCACCCAGTTGAAGACGCGCAGTAATATTGATCCGTAGGAGGGGGTCCAGTTAGAGGAGGGGGTCTCCAGTTAGAGGAGGGGGTCCAGTTAGATTCTAAGAGCGCGAATTGGTCCTGTTAAATTGTAATATATTATGTAAAATACTCTTATCAACATAATGAAATTTTCTTCATTTAGGAACAATTTTTAAAAATATTTGGATCGGCCCAGTTTGATTCCAAGAGCACGAATTAAAAGGTAGAGAATATTAATCACATTCTATTCTTTAAAAAAAATTTTTTTCTCTCTTCTCACTTTTCATATGTACACTTAAATAAAAAACAACGAACATTATGTTTAATTCCAAAACAAAGTCATGCGTGTAATAGTTATAAAATACATTTGTAGTAATGAAGCCCATTATAAGGGTTAATTGAATCAAATGTTGAATGTTTAGATATTGTATAATCATTACACAAACTACATTATAATTCCTTGGATAAAAGACGAATGAATATATAATAGTTTAAAAATATATACGGAACAGTCTATAACACTCTTTTTTTTAAAAAAACAAAATTTTTCGTATAAATATGCATTAGAACTTTAACATACCAGAATTGTGTGTAAGGGTTGTTCAGGCTATCGATGGCTAATCAGAAATGGACACCGTAACATCGTTACATTTTACTGAACGAATCAACATTATTAGTCTAAAAGCTAGCCAAATTTAATTATTATCTCTAGTACAAATAGCATGATAACCGTAAATATATATGCTTTTAAGGACACCGCCAGAGGCACTGTTCACATTGCCGCAAAATTAGTTTCATGATGCATATATGAAACCTGTGTCAAAATGTTCCTTAGGATTCCCAGTGACAATATGAATGTTTCTGAGTAGTCAATTATGTGGTTTAACCCACTTCTGAGTAGTTCAAAGTTCACAACTGGTTGGCCACACTTAATCTACCTTAAATGCAAATCCCAGTACAAGCACATAAAGGGTATCAAACTGTTCCCTTGGACCCCCTTGGGCAATATCACTCCATATAATTGGTCAAGTTTGGGAATTAACACACATCTGAGTAGGTAGAAGGTCATTTCTAATTTCTAACTGGTTATTCTATTTATTACTAGCAGGATACCCGGCTTCGCTCGGGGGTCATAACTCCGAAACCGGAAGTGGTAGACTAACGCCACCTGGCCTATGTTACTCCCCGGTCCGAGCTACCCCTATACCCCAAATTTCAGACTCGGGGTAGACCTAGTGTAGCCGCCAACCCCGAACAGACAGACTTCGCTCGGGGGTCATAACTCCGAAACCGGAAGTGGTAGACTAACGCCACCTGGCCTATGTTACTCCCCGCTCCGAGCTACCCCTATACCCCAAATTTCAGACTCGGGGCAGACCTAGTGTAGCCGCCAACCCCGAACAGACCGGCTTCGCTCGGGGGTCATAACTCCGAAACCGGAAGTGGTAGACTAACGCCACCTGGCCTATGTTACTCCTTGGCCCGAGCTACCCCTAAACCTCAAATTTCAGACTCGGGGCAGATGTAGCCGCCAACCCCGAACAGACAGACTTCGCTCGGGGATCATAACTCCAAAACCGGAAGTGGTAGACTAACGCCACCTGGCCTATGTTACTCCCCGGTCCCAGCTACCCCTAAACCCCAAATGTCAGACTCAGGGCAGACCTAGTGTAGCCGCCAACCCCGAACAGACCGGCTTCGTTCGGGGGGTCATAACTCCGAAACCGGAAGTGGTAGACTAACGCCACCTGGCCTATGTTACTCCCCGGTCCGAGCTACCCCTATACCCCAAATTTCAGACTCGGGGCAGACCTAGTGTAGCCGCCAACCCCGGACAGACAGACAAACGGCAGTCACAATATTAGTATAGATTAAATAGCCTCCGAGTCCCACAACACCAAAGCATATTTATACATGTGTTACCTTATAAGATATCGACGTAACTACTTCTTCCCACTAACTATCAGACGGTTGTTGATGATTACCATATCTTGCACCCGAAATCATGTATCATCTTGCCATTTCAATATCATATTCTACGGAATGCGTAAAGTATAGGCTATGCGTGGATTCCAATTTATACTTTCTCTTGATGTACTTGCATAATCCCTGCTGAATATTGCATAATTAATGTACAAGAAAGCCTTACAATTTCAAAGCCTAAACGTCCATGTGCTTGATTGAGGTTAAGAGTTCACTTGAATAAAAAGATTTGATTGGTAAGACTCTTCCTACGTCGCGGGAACAGTTGACAAACGGCGAACTATACGTTGTTTGCATTGTTAAGTGGTGACTGGTGGAACTGCTTGACGCCCTATGAGTAGACGACTATGTCCATAGTGATCACCACTATTTGCTTCTACATATCAGATCATGGGCAGGGTGTTTACCATCTGTGTGTTACACAGTCAGTCTGTACCCGAGAAACAAATTACAGCGGACACGCAAAAATGAGGACAAACCGATGTTTTCTGAAAATATCAGATCCAAACTAATCAGCACAGACGAATCTTTCCATAACCGAACGGACGACTGATACCACTTCTCATTTGAGACATTTACATAACTAATGTGTATTTGTATTGCAACTCGACAAGATACTATTTAATTCGATTTGTTAGTTTTAACTATACCATTTCCTACCAAGTAGACAATTTAACATGTCGGTTTCGTTCTCTGTGCTGTTGATTATTCCGTTAAATATACAAACTAATCAACTTACCATACACAGGTATATTGTAACACTATTACTGGTAACATAGATTAGATCAGTTTCTTAAATATAGGATCTATTTACATCGGGAACAGAATATGAAACAGCTAAATACAAATACAGCAGAAACATAAATACACCAGGGATATAAACAATAACATTAACACAGTACATGACTATATTACTACCATTCAGCCCCTCAGCCACGGCAGCGGCTCTGCTCATTTCCACTCTTCTCGTCCAAGTCTCTCGTCTCGGGGTCTTATATACATACCTTCGTCACTACATGTGGAAATTTTTGAGTACGTAATTAGATGCGTGCATATTACATAGTGGCCGTGTATATATGTTGTGGACAGTTTAACTTATATCGTAGATCAATAACATGGGGTTCAATGGTTTCACAAATGTGGGGTTTAAAATGGTTCAATGCATCTAAATAAATATTTTACATGTATAAAATATAGTCTTAATATGATACAAGTTATGGGGCACTATTTGTCACAGTATTAAGAAAAACTACCAGCTTCATCTCCAATATATATATCTTTAAGTTATTAATATAACAGCTGTATTAGTTGCAATATTCATAGATACCATAGATACAACCACATGCTAAGTCATGGCGAGATAGCCCATTTTTTGCTTAATGCATTTTTAATCAGCATTCATGATTCAAATTCTATCACAATTCGTACAGTTTTGAACACAGCTAAGCACACATCCCCCATCGCTCTTACGCACTAAAATGCCAAACACTCTTAAAAGCAGTTATTTCCTAGAACTAATAAACACACAATATTTTTCCTCACCCCACAAATGGCCATTTAGTACAATCTTTAAATCACTCTTAACATCTATCTAGTTATATATGCTGGCTCGACATTCACTTTAAAATATCCAGAACAACTAAAGCAAATACACATCCACACAGACACAAAAAAAAATCACTAAGCACACCGAACATTAATTAGTATCCGCCCAGATACACTGCCTTGATACACTCTTTAGAGCGAGAATTTCATATTTTCTAAGAAAGTCAAAACATAATTATTTCTTTGTCGTACAGTTTTGAACACAGCTAAGCACACATCCCCCATCGCTCTTACGCACTAAAATGCCAAACACTCTTAAAAGCAGTTATTTCCTAGAACTAATAAACACACAATATTTTTCCTCACCCCACAAATGGCCATTTAGTACAATCTTTAAATCACTCTTAACATCTATCTAGTTATATATGCTGGCTCGACATTCACTTTAAAATATCCAGAACAACTAAAGCAAATACACATCCACACAGACACAAAAAAAAATCACTAAGCACACCGAACATTAATTAGTATCCGCCCAGATACACTGCCTTGATACACTCTTTAGAGCGAGAATTTCATATTTTCTAAGAAAGTCAAAACATAATTATTTCTTTGTCTTTTGCTCAATAGGTTGTCAACTCATAGGTATCATTCTCCCACTTATAAATCCTTGACTCCGGAAATAATAACACAATTACCTCCCTTGTTTTTTTTACACCCCCCCCCCCATGGAATAGCTATCTTCAAACGTTTGAATTTGAAGTTGAAAATGATATTTTTGCCAATTTCTCAACTGGCAGTAGTGAATTATAGGATTAATAGGATTATTCTTTAACAAGGTGGGACTGTTTATAGACACCATCTATTTTAAGGCTTTATTTTAATACATTTTAAAAATATAACTGAAATTGAAATATGAAATTGCAACTTTAAATCTGACACATCGCAAATCGTATATATCTATTGATACACACACATCCATCTGGATATCACACTTTGTAAATCACTTAACACGCCTAAAATTCGTTAACATATATTCATACACTTTGTCTTGCCACATTCTTTAAATCACTTAGCACACCGAAACATCCATCTAGATACAGTGATGTAGCACACTCTTTAAATACTACCACATCTGACATTCCGACCTTCTGTGACACAATCTTTAATCTACATTCACAAAAATCCCTTGGATTGTAACAAAGGATATCTAAAATATACTGTCTTCACCTTAATACTTTTCCGGTAGATAGCATCTATTTTTATAAATCTAAAGCGTTTATTAAGATATGTTCTGTCCGAACATTTGAATATTGAAGCATCAGGTGCTATCTACCGTCCCAGATGAAAGACATCTTACCTTGTGTTCTTGTTAAAATACATCAAATGGGATGATCTTTCTTTACAGATACATTTTACATCCAATCCATAAATATCGACACACGTAATGCCGAACTTTAAGTTTTAATGTATCGCAACCCCGGGTGTTTATGCGCGCTCAAGATAAATTTAGTACGTGATAACATATACGTATATATTAATAATTGGTAAATCTATTTTAAAAATTGATTTGTTACTTCAGTGTGTCGTGGAAATGACTTGAACCTACCAACTTGTTTTTTTATTTCAAGAGTAATTATCTAAAATTTTTCTTCTTTTAATATGCTACTAAGCAACGTATTTAAATTTGAGATTTAATATTTCAGTAAACAACCAGATTATTTACAATAGGGGCACCGAAAGGACTTCATGTTTCACTTACTTCTTATATAGATAATTTTCTTAGCACTGTAGATAGCTGAATTGCCGACCATACATCTGATCTCTAGACCAGTATCATTTTTACCAACATAATAACTAAATTTGCTTCTAGAATAATAGCCACATGCAGATGACGCTGGTGGATCAACTTGACCATCAGTTATATTCTCCCGTATTGGTGTAGGATAAGAATCACCAGGTGATATGGATTCCCAAGACCAGGACCATTGAGGATTCCCAACATTTACATGACAGGTTATCTCAATATTTTCACCAACATCATACTGTTGTTTATTTGGATATATCATCATGTTAATACCACCTATAACATAATAGAGCTTAGTTTGTAACGTAGTCATAGAGTAGACTAGTCCTTAGTACTTTCTTAACATTAAAATCTTATTTCTCACATTTACTTATGTCTGAAATGCTTACTTTATTTCAGGTGGGGGATCACGTGGCTAAGTGGGTAAGACGCTAGCTCCCTAGCCTGGAGGTCGGGTGTTCGATCCCTGCATTGGCCGAGAAAGTTCATCCAGATTTTCCGGCGTGGTTCTCCCTTGTCAGTGATGCAGGGCGTAGGGGCTGACAAGAAAAGCTGTCTAGTCGTTCGGATGGGGCGAAAAACCGAGGTCCCGTGTACACATTGGCGTGCACGTAAAAGATCCCTTGGCAGTTGGAATTCGATATAAGAGTAGGCCGTAGTGCCGCTGTCCGGGCAAAATTTCCCTCATAGCACACTGTATGGCGTATGCCCGTCTTCATTAGCCCAGGTTAGGAGCAGAACAGTATGACGTTAAACTCCATTTCATTTCATTTATTTCAGGTGAAGATATTTAAATATAAAATGTGAGGGACAGGGCTAGCAGGCTTCCACTACCCGATTACCTGTGTCATGAAATACTTACTTTGAACAATAACTGTTTCCTAATGTAAACAAATCTTTAACAATATTATAAATTTAAAGTTACATGCCTAAGATTTATTATTATTGTTTGTAAAATACTTGCAAACAGAGCTTATAATGAACAACGCAAATAATCAACACAAATTCATTCAAGCCAAGTAACCTCTTCCTTAGTGCGATACGTCAATGTTAAAATACCTATTATTAAGAGAAATGAAATGAAATGGGGTTTAACGTCCTACTGTTCTGCTCCTATGCTGGGCTATTGAAGACGGGCATACGCCATACAGTGTGCTATGAGGGAAATTTTTCCCGGGCAGCGGCACTATCGCCTACTCTTATATCGAATTCCATCTGCCAAGGGATCTTATACGTGCATTCCAATGTATACACGGCACCTCGGTTTTTCGTCTCATCCGAAGGACTAGACAGCTGTTCTTGTCAGGCCCTCCGTCCTATTATTAAGAGATATATCACTTCCAGTATAATAAGAAGAATTGTTATAGTACTTTATATTTACAGTGCAACTGTCCTTTATTCATCGGGTACAATACAATCATACTTATGAATACTTACTTTGAAATGTAACATTTTTATCTTCTTGAAATGAAATCTGGGAGGTACCAGCAATCCCATTAGTTATACACTGATATTCAGCAGCATCATTACAATCAGGATCTTTGATAACAACTTGTAGATAGGATTGGGCTGGTCGTTTTGTCTGGAAGTTTCCGGTTACTGTATATTTCGGTCCAGTTATTCCTGTTCCAGGTCTCGTCCCAAGTAAATCTACGACTACCAAGGTTATTTGTTTATTTATCTGTATACTCAATAATATAGCATAACCAGAACTAACAGTAGGAGAACAGCGTAATGTTAAAGATGTAGCACCCGACTGTAAATTCTGTGATGGTGTTACATCTAACCTGACACCCTCGACACCTGTAAACATATATATAAGCTACACAGAGAGGGGAAGAGAGTAATAGGGTTAAGCGTTCACTCGATATAAATTAGGTTATTTCGGGACTAATATATGGTTCAATTTCATTTCAACATGTAAGCGACATGTAATTGGTTTTATCAAAGAATTCGGGTAAACTGGTTTATTGTCAATGAAAATGTTTAAAGATGCATTGTGCAAGATTTAGATAAAGATCTGGTCGTTCTTGTTATATTATTTTAAGAATACATAATACAAATTAATATATTGCAAACTTCAGTCAAATTACCTTATTCTAAGCGAAATTATAAACAGACATTGTATAACATGATTATAACAACGCCTAGGCTAAAGAACACATTATATACAATACAGACGTCAGCGTTTCCTAGACCATGTTATACACAAACTATTTAACATAACAAATACAATGACTCTATCAGGATTGACCATCTGGTTAGCGAGCTAGTGTCTGACTCAATTAGTATACCCCCTCCTCGCTGTATATTATGTGATCTTACCTTGATTTACAGCAGTGTAAAACAATAAAATTAACAAAACACTAATCCCCTCCATTATTTTCGGTCACAGTTTTTACCTACGTTATGATCAATACTATTCACTTGTCATACTAATAAATGTTATATAATACGTTTTGCATTATACGTTACCATTTACTTTTGTAAAACACATTGCTATAGAGGAATGCTTGGTGACAAACAATTATAACGTCAAACACTACAAACATTTGCATAATATAAAAGTTACACATACAACCAACACTCATGGTAATAATCGCATATAATCCCAATGAATTATGAATACCTGAATAAATATTATTATTCGATTTATATAGCGCTTCATTACACATGAGTATTTCAAAGCGCATTCCAACAAAACAGTTCAAAAACATTTTTAAAATAAATATGTCTTTAAGTTAGCTCTAGATGGAAGAGGACTCTCAGGTTTTTTTTGGAAGATCATTCCACATTTTAGCTGCTCTAACGAAGAAAGCATGTTTACCAGAACGTTTATTAGATTTAGGAATCCCAAGTGTGTTATGATCACTTGAAGAACGAAGGTTGGATCGTCGGAAAGTATAGAAATCAAAGAGTTCTTTTATATAACTGGGTGCAGTGTAAGAATAAATTGATTAAACACATTAGCAACAGCTTTAAACACTAGCTCAAACAGGAAGCCAATGGATTTTCTGTAACTTGGTGGATATATTATCAAATTTTCGTGTTTTAGTTATGCGACGTGCAGCATTGTTTTGCACTATTTGTAGTCTGTTTACAAGTGTTTCTGATGCTCCTAACAGAAGTGAACCTACTCTGGCAAGCATCAATATTAAGCTTAGAGTGTATTCTCGAAATTGTTCTCATTTGAAGATGCATTGTCCGTATGATACTATTGATTTGCTTAACTGGAGACATAAATTCATCGGTCACAAAATCAATACTCTTAGCCTGCTTCTTGGGAGTTATAGAGCAATCGGCGATTTGAATATAGAATCCGCTTTAAACAATTTACTGGATTATGATTTTGTTGATATGACAAGAAATTCCAATTTATCATCGTTAAGTTTTAGCCTATTTCTGGTCATCCATCCTTGAATGTCATTAAAGTAGTCATATATTTGGGTGTCATCAGCAAAGCCGTGGTTTTGTACCCCATGTCTTCTTATGACTTGACCAACTGGAAGAATGTATAAGAGAAAAAGTAGAGGACCCAATATAGATCCTTGTGGAACACCTTTTGTAACAGCACATGATTGAGACACCGATCTGTTTATTTGCACTTATTGTTTTCTATCTTGATGATATGACTTTATCCATGACAGTGCGGGACCACGGATCCCAACTGAAGATTCCAGCCTTTGAAATAGAATACTATGATCTCTAGTATCTAAAGCAGCAGTGAGTTCCAAAAGTACTAGGTGCACAGCTAGATTCTTTTCCAGTGTCAGGTCAGATAATCTGAATTTGAGATGCAATAATTATTTCAATAACCCTGCCGATGAATGGCAAGTTGAAAACCGGTAAGTACTTCTTACACAGCTGAGGATCAAGGTTTGGTTTCTTCAACAAAGGTGAAATCAGAGCTGACTTTAAGCATATAGGAACAGTACTGGTGGTTATATAATGATTAACAATGCCAGTAATGACTGGAAGCAGAACCTCCAATACTTTCTCCTCTTTCAGAATGTTCAAAGAATTGGTGCACATTTGTAGATGATGTGAATGGGCGGTAATCCGGCTAGCATATATTCTACTAAATTGTGTCCCCCGATTGCCAATTCATATTGTCGATTGTCGAATACCATTGCCGTCATCATTACTGCCACCATATATTAAAGTTTGATGTAGATATTACGGATATTGTCTACTCCACTCGATATTGAAGCCAGACAATTGTCTAGAGAGGTGATTATGGGCTCGTCATGTGAATAAATGTCTAAATAATAATTTATATAAAATCTTAATCCAGATAATAAACATGCAAAGGGCAGATTCGGATACACATAAAATATCTCTGAACAGTTTGAATCGAATAAATGTGGGTGGAAGCGTCGATATCCGGGCAAAATTCTCCCGTTCATCACTCACGCATAACAACAAAATCTAAGATGTCGACAATGAACCATACCCTTTTCTATATGTTTTTTGATTATTTACATATTATAAATATGTAGATATACATTTTCGTGGAACCAGCTTTAGAAAAACTAACAGACAGATGACATAACTCCGTATTCGATTTACCAGACATATTAAATTACTCCATATTCGATTTCGAAGATTTTATCGAATACTTAATTGGGATCGAGTGTGCTTGCATCATGAATACGAAACACTACTAAACACACAAGTCTAAGAAAACATTTTGTCGGAACGAGTGTTTTCATTATTAGTTGGATATCTAGTGTGTAATTGTGCAGCTTATGTTATGTCCCCGAGGACGCCACGTTTGCTCAGTGAGTAAGACGTCGACTCGTTAACCTGGAGGTCCCGTGTTCGGTCCCGGTGTTGGCGAAGAATGTTCATTGGGATTTCCCGGTGTGGTTTCCACTTGTCAGTGATGTAGGACAGAGATCTGGGCAAAAAGGACAGCGAATAGTCGGTCGGATACGACAAAAACCCGAGGTCCTGTGTACACATTGGCGTGCACGTAAAATAACCCTGGACAAAATTGTCCTCATTACACGGCATATGCCAGTTTTCATTAGTCCAGTCGGAGCAGAAAGTAGGCCGGTAAACCCAATTTCACTTCATTTTATTTCGTTACGTCCCTGGGTGTTTATAATTTATTTCGTCTACCGTCAAAGTTACAATAAGACATGACTTATATACAAAAACTACTACAAAGGAAATACTAGTCACGAGCACTACCACAATGTCATTGTAAAGTTGCACGTGTCAATGAGTACCTACTGTCGAGTAATGGTTAAGCTTGTGTGTGCATGTATATTTAAAAATAGGGACATTGAGATATACCGACACCTACCAATGTGGGGTCATACCGCCAATATAGATGTTTTAGTTAGGGTCACCATTAAAAATCATTTAAAACGCAATTAGTATTAACCCCGTTCTCTTTGGAAACCTTGACGTTTTCTAATTTCAACTTACATAATTCGTACCTATTTTAAAGTAAACCCTGAATGATTGATTTGTGATTGCACTATTGAAGCAATTTGGTCATGGGGTTATTGTGTCGCATATAACAATGCATGTCAAAATAAATTATTACTATATGAAAGAACATTAACAGCATGTACAGTACTAAACAAGAGACCACGATATTTAATAATAAATCATGTTAACGCGGACTTATATTGTAGTCACCCCTATTGGTTTGTCCGTCCACACTTTCTTGTTAGCGCGCAATAAGTTTATACTTTTTATCGGATTTTTCTGAAGCTTGCAGCAAACTTGTCTTTCGTAAAAATGGTAGTACTGTGTTTAGAGTTATACCCCCTTCCCCCCTTTGCCTAAACCTGTCCACGATAGAGGCCAGAGTTTTTATCAAATGTTTTTGAAACATTCAGAGATCTTGTATTATGATAAGACGGTGATCCTTTTTTTTCACCAAGATCGGAGTCATAATATGTAGAGTTACGACACTTTTTTGCCGAATCCTGTCCACACTACTTGTAAAGTTTGTCAGTACAAAAGAAGTCAGAGTTTTGATCAGCTTATTCAGGAACCTTGTATTATGATAAGACGAAGAAGAGGCCTATTTCTCACCCTTCCCCCACCGTACCACTAGAGTGTCACACTACATTTTCAAAAACTCTTGGAAATTTGATGTGAAGTAACGAATTTTATATCGAATCTTTTACGTGCACGCCAATGTGTACACGGGATCTCAGTTTTTCGTGGAAAAATAGAATTTGAAAGTTGGAATTCGATATAAGGGTAGGACGTTAAACCCTATTTCATTCCATTTGCCACATATGGACTAAAACTAACAATTCTCGCCGCATTGTCTTCAATGGATATTTCTTGCTCTATACTGGTAACGTGTTTTTTTTAACATACCGGCCATCTTAATCTTTATAACAACAATAAAGTTAAGATGTCACAATCATCTGATGAAGATATTGAATGGGTTTGACCGCATCGATATTTTTCTGTGCCTGTTCATTTTTTTTTTATTCTTATAAAGATATTTATTTAGATTTTACATACTGATCATGCAGTACATGGATAAGCGTATGCATCCACAACATATATATCGTTCTCAACCGTTCGTGTCTTCCTACAAACAGTGAACGAATTCACTCAAATTGGCCAAATTATGCAGGTTGGTCTATTACGTCATGATCGTGCTTAGCGTCATCAACCGCGACGTCGTCGTATGAAACGTCAACGTTAGTTGACGGCACATATATTCTAGATCGCATATACGAAGATTCATTCCACTAGGACAAACCAAAGCCCAAAGCCCTGTATAGGGAAAGGTACGATAACTCATTTACAGGCGCCATTTTGGGTCCTAACTATGACGCCATAAAATCAATGATAATATGTCAGACAAAATCATACTCAAAATCGGCCAAAGCAAAATGACATGATTAACAGAATTTAATTTGGCGTTCTTCATGAATTATCGGAGAGCGATATCTCGTAATCAGTGTCTTTCAGTGGTGGGAGGATAAATGATTTATTTTTAAATTCCTCAAACATAGATTGATTATGTAAGCGAAATGTGTCGAAAAATCGAATTTGACAAACATCAATTAAAAAAATGTATTTGTCATTTGGTGGCGGGCATTTCTTTTGTCAAATTTGGTAATATAATACCATTTTAAAAATGAAAAGAAAATCAACACGAATTTGGTAATAAAAGGGGTTTGCGATAATCTCAAAAATTTAATTTCGAGAAATCTTGACGGTAGAAATTCAAAATGACCGGCAAAATGACATACAAAATGGTGGAATTTTAATCAGTCGTCATTTTTTTCCGTTGGGTTTGACTTGTAATATGTGGTATATCAATCCCGAAATGACATAGTTGCTCTAAAATGAATATATTGTTAATGCGCTTTAAGCATCTAGATGCACTAGACTTGTTGGCAATAAAGATCCAATCATAGTTTTTAGTTACACACCGTTTCCCACCCATAGATGTTTTTAAATGACAATCATATACTTTATTCAGCTCGACGCAAGACTTAAATGAATAGATGCAGTTCG